GGATAAGTCTATGAGCCAACTTGTTGACACTATCGACACAGAGTTATCATCTTCTTTAAATTCGACGATGGCGAATTTATTTTTTGGAGGAAAAGTGATTTTAGCCATGCTGGCAGATTCTCGTGCTGGAAATGGACTTGAAAGTACGATTGGCGCTGTAGTGGATAGATGGCGCACTATGGTATTTTTGGCCACGGATGGTACGACCTCGTGCCGACAGTTTTTGTCAGATGCAATTTAAATATACTTTTGCCAACCTTGTCCCACCCTCGGTAGGAAGGAAGTAAATGTAAAAATTTCTACATGCACTTTTTGCTTAAAACTTGTCTGCAAAAATCGGGAGGGGAATGGTTGGCACAGTCGGCCAACCATCGCCCAACTATGCCACCCTTTAATATCCTTCGGCCCGATAATCTTGGCTACTTGGGTGGTCGACCCCTCATACGGCTGGGTCACCATCGGCATCAAACTCGCAATTAAGACAGAAACATTAATCGCAATCGGCGGACAGACGAAGGCCATCGGACTGTCGTACATGCGGATGGACACGACAATCACGAGGATTTCGATGCACATGGCATGGCTGAACAGCATGCTCGTTGTGTTGGAGATGAATGGGTGGAGGATTGTGGTCCAGATGAGGAGGCGTTGGTAGAGGTGGCGGGATTTTGAAATTTTCAAGTTTTTTACGAAAAATGCGTCAACCGCGTTTCCCAAAGATTCGAAAAGGATGATGACAACCAGGATGATGAAGGACATGCTGCGACAAAAGTCTAACAATGCGATAAAATAGGACAGCATTCGGACAGGGATTGTAGCGTAGGTGAGGACCAAGGATAAATTTGGGGGGATGGGTAAATTTGGCAAAATGACGTGATAATATGGCAAGTCGAAGTTGGAAAGGACAAAGATAGGTGACACGCATGGCGCGATGAAATGGATGACGATAGCGCCCAACATTCCGAGCAGGGTGAAGCGCGACTTGTGGGATATTCCTGGCTTGCTCGCTGAAAATTGAATAAAAATGAGTAAAATTTACTCAATGTTGAGCAAAAATGAGGATTACATAAGCAAAAGAGAAAATTTGGCAAAATTTCAATTTGTGCAAAATTGGGTAAAATCTGTCGATAATTTTTGCACCAATTTTACCTTTTGGTTGCGTCATATTCTTGTTTACTCAACCTTGAGTAAATTTTACTCATTTTTATTTAGAGTGAAAGCCATTTCCAATGGCCCGATTACATATTTATTTGCATGATTTAAAAGAAAAATCAGGACTTTGAAATATCATTGCAGAATTTTTCATAAACCTGCATGCAAATTAGTCTTGGATTAAAGCCTACTTGGGAAACGGACTTTTTGAAATCAAAATTATATATTCCCTTAATTTCCCCGTTTTCTACAGAAATATATTTATTCATATAAAAAATTACCTGGTTTTAATATTTCTTGCAAGTACAGCGTTCCACTTGAATTCCACCCTGCAGAAATCGAGTCTCCGCAATAAAGCAGCATTCCCGAAATGAAAATGGATGACCCTGAATAAACTAGACCTCCGAGCACCACCAAAGGGGCCGTCCATAAATTACGTAACGCAAAAATCGTCATTTTTAGACCCTCCCCCTCCCCCCTCGTAACGGCATAGTAACGCTTCTCGACTACCCCCCCTCCCCCTTCGTAACGTAACATAAATTTGATTTCACCGCAGATGATTTACTTAGCACTCGCAATGCATTGTGCGGAATTTTGGGGCGGCACCGATGAAAGGAAAGGGGGTATCGCTCATTCTGTTACCACAAAATAGAGCCAAAAATTCAGTTTATTTTTACTTATACAACCAGATCATTTCGGTTACTCCATTTTGAGATATTTAAGGTCAAAGTTTGACCGCAAACTTTTGCAAATGAATTGATCTGGTTGTACATATCTATGTAAAAATAAACTAGATTTTTTCGTATATTTCTTGGTAACAGAGCGAACGATGGACTCGTTACCCCCCCCCCCTTTCCTTGACCGGTTCCGCCCTAAAATTCCCCACTGTAATGCAACCTTTTCTCAATTTACCCCTGGAAAACTAATGAAAAATGTATATTTACTACATGCGTACACTGAAACCTTTTGGATGACATGAATTCAATATGCTCGGCGTATCATATTTGGCGAATTTTAGTCCAGTTTATAAAATGTGTTACGTAACAAATTTTTTATACCCCCCACCCCCTTCATAACAATTCGTAACGCACTTCCCATGACCCCCCCCCTCCCCCCTCTTGCGTTACGTAATTTATGGACGGCCCCAAAGTTCGATAAGCTCCCAGATTAACTGTTTTAGAAAGCCCATTCTGAAGCAAGATTATTACTATGCCGAAGAAGAATACCGGCGTGAGAACAAATTGCGACAAGTACCAAGCCCAGAATTTCGAGAATGAGACCCTTTTTGGAAAATTGATCTGATTTGGGGAACCATAAGTTAGCGGATGTTTCCATGCGAAGGAGTACAAATAAAAATTTAACCGTAGAAGAGCAGTTTTCAGCTTGCAAAACATTTTCCGCGAAAAAATTTGCAATGATGTGAGATGAACTTTGTTACATATTAAATTATTTCTGGTCAGAGCACAAATTTGTATGTATGCCTCTACCGGCACGGTAATATGTAACGAGCATTACCGTTTAATGATAAAATATTTCCCACTCAGAAACACATTACTACCAATCCGGTAAGAAATTACTACCGAGTAAGTACCTGTTGTATGTAAGTCTATAGTCTACGTATCTATATATGTAAACTCTTATGTAGGTAACTGGTATGTATGAAATCATTACTGCCCGGAGTACATATACATATTTATGGCTTTACCGGCACGGTAGTAACGAGCATTACCATTTAGCAAAATGTAGATAATAACAAACTATTACTAAGAAACAAACAAACTAAATATTACCAACCCGGTAGGAAATTATTACCAAACCAGTACCAGTACGGAGTGCATATGTAAATTTACTGAATTCTTTTTTACAAGTTGTTTTAGAATTTTACACTGCGCGAACGAAGTTAAGAAAAGCTAGCCAATCAACAATCTAAAAGTAATAACTCTTTTTTCTTGATAAGTCCGTTTTAATAGGGGACATTAATTATTAGGTATTCATACTTTTTGAACTCGGCTTTTCTGTATAAATATTTCTGCTCATGCATATTTTAAATCAAGTCGTAACAATTTCTTGCAGGTCGACTTAATTTCGAGAGATAAATATTGCATATGAATTGGTTATAAATATTTACATACTTGGATTAGATTGGACAGAAAGGTGATTTGTTTGTGGGACTTATCGATATATGGATCCAACTAACTAAAGTAATGAAACATATGCAGCGAGGTTGAACTTGATTAAAAGTATGGATGGCTATTAAATCCCGAACCTAAATATTAAATATGGTAGGTAAAGGGTGTTAATAAAGTCCGATCCCATGCATTTTTTGGAGCGTGGTTGTTACAAATTCAGCTGGAACTTTTGAACCAGTGAAGTTATTTATTTCAAATTTTTACCATGGGAGGAACAACTAAACGTGTAAGTCATGAGCATCTTAGAGTTGAGATACAAACATTGCATCAGCAGGGGCTTAAACCTACAGAAATTGTGCAAAAATTGGGCTGCAGCCGCAGAACTGTTTGGAAATGGAAGAATAAAAATTTTGTCCACGACAAAAAGCGACCAGGGCGACCCAGAAAGGTGTCACCTACCACAAAAAGAATGATTAAAAACAGACTTTGCAAGAAAACCGGTAGTTCATTACGTAATTGAGCAAGGGAGTTAAATGACTCAAAACGCTATAAAGAGAAGAAGAAGCAAATTAACCGTGCAAAAATTTGTGAAAACTACGAAGTAGGGTCACACAGCTTACAAACTAACCAAAAAAACCTCTCATGTCACAAAAATATATCGATGACCGTCTGAAATTTGAAGAACTCCTTCAGAAAAGTGCCCATTTGAGTGAAAAAAGACTTGGTGAAGAATTGCGCAGTCACATCCTTTGGACTGACGAATCTATTATTGAACTATATCCAAAATTGAACCAACAAAATGTTCGTTACAGGACAGAAAACAAATCGGATGTACCATCAAGAGCGATCCCAAAATTCGGGCTTAAAGTTATGGTAGCGGGTGGATTTTGTGCACGTTGCGTGACCCCTCTACATATCATACCAAAAGGCAAATCAGTCAATGCAAAGCATTATATGGAAAAAATATTACCTATCTATTTCGATAGCATGGGGAACAAGGAAATATTTCCGAATGAAAGAAAAATAGTTTTCATGCAGGATGGTGCTATAGCCCATACAGCAAAAGCGAGTTTGAGTCTCATCAAGACGCAAGTTTCAACGGTCTGGAGCAAGGGGGTGTGGGCCGCTAACGGCCCAGATTTGAATCCCCTGAAGAACCAGTGGTCCATACTTAAGGAAAATGTATACAAAGAGCCACAACCCCGGACGAGGGAAGAGCTAGTAAAAAAAAGTTCAAGATGTATGGAATTCGATTTCCAGAGGCACATTGGAAAAATTAGCACAGAGAGAATACCGCTTGGTATTATGCTAATACTGGATTTCTAAGATTGTTGAAATAGCAAAATGCATTCATATATATACATATGTACATATGCATGAATGATAACGGTATAGAGAACGTCCATGTGATGCAAAAATACGAATTTTTCAGACCCTCGGTCCCCCTTTTCACATGTGGCGCAGCACAATTAATGTATGGACATTCTCTTAAAATTAATACTTGATTTGTATATAAACTATGCACGAGATACTGTATGTAAGTGAAGGTTTATTTAGGACTGAAAAATTTTGCGTCATCGTGACTGCATCCAATTTCATGAGGTCAAAATTTAAATTTTCCAAAATTACTTGTAAGTAATTTTGAAACATTTAAATATTTAAATCCTAATCACAATTTAGAGCATTTTGAAAGAAAATATTTTTTACGGTGGAGAAGTCTGTCAGTGAAATAGGCGTAAATCTCGTGCCTTTATTTACATAAAACTTTATTTCTCAAATTTATTTACAAATTTATGTATTATTCATGAATTATATTGTAAGGAATTTAAAAAGTATAAAAAATTAAACGTTTGTTAAGCCTTGTTGGTTAATTTCCACTTTACAAATGTCTGATGTCATTCCTTCTTCTGGACTTGTGTTGGAGGAGCAACTGGGGAGAAAACGATTCATAGTCGCAACGGTCACAGCCAAAAACAACGCTACCGTCGGGTTTCTCTCTGTGAACGAAAATTATAGATATCGTTAATTAAAAAAAATTTAGTCAAAATTTAATTTTTTAATGACCACGTAAGTATATAATGTACATATTTACACCAGTAATAAACTTGGAGACAAATCGTCACCCGCAGAGGTATTTATACAATGTATAAACACTGCCCTATTTTTGGAAAGGATTACGGAGACGTTTTGTCACCAAGGGGAAATAAGCCAAAAACTCGTTATTTAAAAAAAATTGATCATTTTTCTCCGAACATCTGATTTTTAACATCAAAGTTTTAAATTTTTTAACAGCGACGTCACGTGTTTTTGAGGCAGGACTTTTTAACTTAGGTATTTCCCACGGGTGACTAAACGTCTCCTTAATTGTTACCCAAAAATAGAGCACTAAAGTATCTACCTCCGCGGGTGACGATTTATCTCCAAATTATTTAGTGTAGTTGTTTTTTATTACCTGCGACCTCTGACGCCTTCATGGTGGCCCTTCGTATACAGATGAACTCGTAGATTTCCAGGCACAGTGAAATCCTGCATGCAAATTTCGCACCGAAATATTCCTTGGTCTGGGTCAATAGTTGTTTCCTCGCTTTTTGAAAATGAGTCAGGTTCGGTTCTAGGTATTTATAGAATGAAGATTAAGAAGGTTAATTAATTGAAGAATAAATAATTTATTTGTGGAAATAAGAATTAAGAAGTTACTTAATTTTCTTTACTGGCACGGTCACCGTCTTGGCTACTTTTTTGACAGGAATCTTTTTTTGGGGGATGTTGAAGCTAAAATTTGTAAATTAATATATTTTTTAATTGATTGAAAAAAATAACAACTGAAAACCTTGATTGTGTATAAGAACGTATGTTAAAGTCTTCCAATAGAGGTTAAAACATTCCGTGTGAATTACCCTTAATAAAAACCTGCTAAAATCCTAATCAAAATCAGCAAATTTTTTATCACTTTTTGGCTCTGGGAATTTATTTAAAAATTCTGGACGGCTCGAAATTTGTAGAGCAAGTCCTTTCAAATTTAGAAAATACACACCTCAGACTTTGAAAATTTTCGAAGGATATAGGATATCAAGGCTAAGAATAGAAACCTTCAGAAAAATTGAAACGGACTAAAACTCACACCAATTCATGAACTTATGTATTGAGGATGAGTACACATTTCAGAAATTTAAAATAAATTCCCAGAATGAAAATAACTGATTAAAAATGTGTCGATTTTGGTGATTAGTTATTGAGTTTAACGTTAATAAATAAATGTGTATGTCCTAAATACCTTCGCATTTTCCACGATTTTCTCGGATTTTTTCTCGTAATTTTATTTCGCACATGGTTTCCAGAATTTGTGGCTTCTTGATGGGATGTGTCCATGCTAGCAGATGAGGTCTCCCCCTCCGTGTTACGTTCCACTTTTACTGGTGCACTCAAATTGGCAAAATTGCCAATTTGCGAATTTTGTTTGTTCAAAAGTTCCTGAAGTTGACCCGGGTCTCGCAAAACGTTCCCAAGTTCGGACGACTTGATCACGATGACGGAGTACATTTCGTCCTCGGCTGGAGGTAAAATTGATGGTAATTGTAGATCGGATGGGATTTGGTGGTCCGGAATGGGGGCATCTGTATCATGACCCCCTTGGGTGGGAGGAGGAGGGTCATCATCTTTAAGGGGGAGAATGGGTACCCTGTTTGGGCTGTGGTAGGATTTTGAGGGTGAATTATGGCAACTAGGAAACGTGTCGGAGAGTGGAATGAGGTCGGAGTGGTTGAACTTTGGGGAGTTTATGTTTCCTGAAAAGTTAGAAATTTTTTAGCCTTAAATTCTGCAAAGTTAAGATCACGGTTAAATATGAAACTCGTTATTTGGGATACATTTACATATCTACAAATTACTGTTATCTAAAGAACTATGTATAGAACATCATTCTTTAATACAGTCGTGAATTAATGGGGGAATAATTTTGTCAAAATTTTTGAATGAATGATTATTAAATAAATATGTACTTATTCATTTTATATTCATAAAGAATGATTTTATTCATTACGCATTTTTCATCCTAATGCTTAATACATGGGAAATTCATGTAATTTTACGTAAATGAATAACACATTTCTTCATTTAAAATTCACTGAATTTATATTTGGGAACAAGTGAAAAAATTCAAAATTGGAAAATGAATATTTATTCATTTTTAAATGAATAGTTAATGCACACTTGTTCCAAATATATGTAAATTCAGCGAATTTTAAATGAGGAAATAATTTTTGAACAGGTACATATGTATGGATGTGACGGAAAACTGAAGCATAAATTATTGTATATCACTCACCTGCTTCCTCCACCTTATCCAACTTGAGCCTTATCGCGAATTTCAGACAAGTCTCAATCTTAACCAATTGTTGTCTCAGCTTCCTCATTTTCCCCATCATTTTTCGACACGTGGCGCAAATCGAGCTATCCCTCACCATCGCATAATTTCCCCTAGTTTTCGAAATTTTAAGCCGCATTTGGTTCAAAATTTCAGTCTCTGCCGAACTGATGGGATTCAACTCTGTGTCCACTGAACAAATGAGACACGGCGATAAGGAAGTTATCCGTATCGCATCGATCCGCTGGGGCAGAAAATAGCTGAACAATTCCGGCGGGTAGTTTAATTTCGGGTCAACTTTTAGATGTAGCTTATTCAAGGGAATGGAGCACGTGGGTGATAACAGGTCCCGGATAAGGTTCCCACTTCCGCGGGGAATGAATGATTTTGCCGCCATTGTTTAAAAATTAGGGGTAATAAATATATTCACAATTTTTTAATACGCTTTTACAAAGTCTAGTGTAGTCTCGCACGTATTGATTTCTCGGTATTAAAGTTGCTACTGTTTGGTAGTAAAATTATTCCGGACCGTAAGAATTAAAAATGGGCTATCGATATATTAAAACTTTAATATTGAACTGTTATTAATTTCACTTTGGTATCGAGTCATATATGAAAACCGTTCGGTATTATTTTAATACTGGAATGTGTATAAAAAATTCGATAAATAAAGGTGTTCAAAATATTTATGTAACTACGCAAATCGTTAATTAAATACCAGTTGGAAGCAAGAATTAATTATGTTCCCATAATTCTCAACACTTTACACAAAATTAAAATTTATAATATTTTAAACTTCTGCGTGGAAACAGTTGACAGAAAGAAATGACACCACGAATAATGTAAACTTTCTAATTTTTAAGTAAGTGATGTGCAGTGCACATGCCCTTCTTTTACCAGTTGACCTGTGCGACTTACGAATATACAGCTAAGGGACCGATTAAAGTCTCTCTTTATAACAGAAAAGGGTCTCAGGAAGTGTGTAAAAATAGAAAATCAGTACAAATGTATGTATGTATGCAAATGTAGAAAATTCTGCGTATTTACATATTTCCCAAATGTATGTAAATGTTGCTGGAAACTACATGCATACATATTTATATGGCCTTTGTTTCCTTAAACAAGGCGTCGAAATACATCGAGTAGTTAGTTAACCCTAAACCCTTTTCTTATTTAAATCCTTGCTCAGAATTCTGCTTAAAAATGAACAACTTTTAACCGTCAGGGAAGTTTAAGGGCTTATTTTTGTGTATCGTCTTCTTGGAAATGACTCAGGTCCATTCTTATACATACATACATACATAAAGGGTGGTTTAAATATGTAAATGTCACGCTATAATGGAAAATTTTTTGATAGGAAAAACCCCTAAATCAATATTAATTAAAACACAAGATTTCGGATTGAGATTTTTATCAAAAACTAATGGAACACTGATGACGAAATTCTTAAAATGTTGAATTCTAGAGACAAAATTTCGGGAAGTAATGGAAATTTACGAATTTTTTCCATCGACAAATTTTCTGTTGTAGCGTGACATTGTAACCACCAGAGGTGGGCAATATACATGTATATTGAATATACAAGTATATTATATACAGTATATAATATACTTTTTGTATATTGTATATTGTATCTTAAAAGACTTGAAAAAAAGTATATTGTATATTGTATATTGGACAAAAAACTGTCCAGTAAATATACAATATACAATTAGGTGTAAAATGCGTGGCGAATGACAAGAATGCATATTTTAAAGTTGTGCTGGGGTATATGTTAAACGTCTAAGTTATAAAATCGTTATATCCGTTTGCGGTTGCTCTAACAATAAGTACGTCAGGCTTCCTTGGTCCTATCTTAGATTGTTGTCACATATTTATATAGTTCAACATATTTAGAAAATACAAATAATTCTTAGCTCAACACTCAGTACACAAAAAACCACCGATTTTTTAAATTATGTATATCATACAAAACTCTCCCATTTTCCATATTGGAATCGATGGATTAAAGGTCCTTAAACCTGTACAATGATTCTGCTATTGGAAAGGGCGAACTTTCAATTTTGAGGCAATTTATAAATGAGTGATGTTTGGGTAGTGGTCTAGGCTTTGAACTAAAAGTTATTTTGATTTAATTAAAAAAAATAGTAGAAAATAATAGTAAAAATGTGTTGAATTCTGCATGTAAAAAAAATGTGGTAGGAACGTCCATTATAACAAAGCCCGACGTCTACATTTTCATACTAACCAATTTTTGTCAATATTTTTCAGTTTTTAATGTTTTTTTTAATTATAGTTAAGTGCAATTGCATTATTGTTTAATGCATTGTGCAACTGGTAACAAAAATTGGCATCCCACAATAAGAGAAACCTAGAAACTTTCCACACTCTTAAGTTTTCCAAATATGCATGACTATCTAACGATAAGTGAAAATTCAATTTAATTTTGTGCTGGCGACTTTTGCCAGTCACCGTCTTAAAATACGTTAAGGTTCAACGGACAATTTTTAACTGAAAACACTAAATTACGCTTTGTATCTCATTTTTTGCAAAGTATATTGGAATTGTATATTCAATATACATGTATAGTATATTGAAACTAAAATCATGTATATTATATACGTATATTTGTATATTGTATATTTCACTTTTGTAGTATATTGTATATAGTATAGTATATTGAGACGAAAATTTGAGTATATTGGCAAAGTATATTCAATATACATTTTGATGTATATTGCCCACCTCTGGTAACCACCCTATATATATGTATTTAATATGCATGTGGGTTTCTAGTTTGGATTTTTGTGTCCCATTATTCCAACAGCGATTTTGAAACCTGGTCATCTGCACTGAAGGGACAAATGTAAGCGGTGTCGAGGCACTTGGCATTAATAAATATGAAGGATATAAATACTTACGTAAATAAATATGTTGGGTATTTAGAATAAAATTCATGCAAAGGTTGTGTTTCGCATATTTGTGATGGTATCAATCACCACTTAAAAAATTTACGTAAATATGTATGTACATATGTCCAAGATGAAAATATGTATACATAAATTCGTCAATACATACATACATTTCATACTTTTGAGGAAATGTCAACTAGTGACAGAAATACGGAGTTGAGAAAGGGGTTTGAATATTCATAAACATATTTAATAAAGTACTTATAAAAAACTTGGGTAAAATAACATACAATTAAAAATACAAAATAGTATTTCCGCATTTTTTTAACACAAATTCATTTCAAATCTAAAATTAAATATTTCTGAGTACTAGTAAATTATTCAAACAACTAAAAAAAACAAGTAAAAACGATCTACACGAGTAAAATTCGTTACGAGACATTCCGCTACCGTTTCGATCTATTCATGCATCTAAAATTTGGTATGAAGTGCAAATCTGCAGCCGAAATTTTTCCTCTGCTCCGACCCGGGTGCCGTATTCCTTCAACAGGTTAAGCGGGATTCTTCTGTACAAAAAATCTCCGAGGCGGCAGTGATACGGGTTGACCAGAAGGATCCAGGATTTGTCGACCTGCGAGATATGTAAATATTTAACAGGGGGGACGCAAACCATGATTATTTTTTGACCATCTCTTTAGAAACAACATTCAGTCCACGACTTGATAAGATTGTAAAAATCAGCAAGTTATTGCCGTGGTGAGTTTGCGAAAAATAGCTGCTGTCGCAAGGTAAAGATTCCGCTGGAAAACCGAACATTTTGCGAATTTGCGGCTCTCACAACTTTTTTTTGTATCTGCGCAAGTGGCCTACTAAATATTGTTTTAATAGAACTTGTTTTTGAAACTGAGCTGGTTAAAAAACAATCTGGGTTGAACATGGTTTGCGTCAGTATTTTTTATTCGATACTTCCACCATTTCCGGTACGGAATACATACCTGCTTCCCTTTTTCGACCTCCTTGGACAGCTTAAACTCCACCGTATATTTCTCCGCGGTTTCCGTGCTGCCCAGAACTTGACGAAATTCTGGTAAATATAGACCACGATGAGAAAAGTATTTCCATCCTTTTTCAAGATCTTGGGTCGTAAATGGTAGTGAACTTTAGCTGTAAAAGAGAGGAAATAATTGCATTTATAATGTTTTAATAGTACGCTTGAATAAAATGTCTGCGAATGCGTCAAAAAATTCTACTATATATATATTGCGCCATTTTACCGAATGACTCTCCATCCATCGTCAATTTCAGGTTTAAAAGTCTGGCTGATTTGTGGGATGGGGACACGTGGCAGTTGTGGTATTTCGTCAAATGCTCGGCAAACTGGGACATGGCGACGGGCTTATTCCATCGACAATGAAGTGGGTTTATCCAGTGGCAGGTTATCTCGCTAATTCGCAAAATATATAAATACAATTTATGTTGATTAGTAATTTTAAATTACAAACTTCATCTATATAGCAAAATTTATCAATCTCTGCAACTCGTACATACCGGAAGTAGCAATGTTTCCTATGTTGTTTCATCTGTGCAGCGTCAAGAACTTGGGTACATCCAGAGGATTGGTTTGGACACGGTAATAATTTCACCTGTGCAAAAAATATGTATCAAATTTCGTACGGTTTTTATACACTTCCATTTTCTAGTTGTGCCTTCTTTGCCGTCCGTTCGAGTGCGGCGATATCTCGTGGTCTTTTAAGCAGCGGGGGCTGGGGTGACAGCCGAGATTCTCCATGGTCCTCGGAATTATTGGTCAGAATGTCAATGTCAACCTCATGGTCAGCTTCGTCAACGTTGACTCTTTCGTTGACGTGGCCGATGTCCTCCACGTGGTCCCCTCCATCAGTTTGGGTTTGTTTTTCTAAGAATACATGACATTCTATAAATAAAAACTTTAACGAGGGTGTTTAAGGAAGTCGAAAGTGAAAATAAATGTTCAAAAAATGATAAAAAAATTTAAACGAGGTACTGGCTGGGTTATAAAACTGCACAAATGTGGTCTCCATTTACATACTTAAAAGCTTGCATTTTAAAGTTAAATTAACCAAAAATTCATCAACCAATGACTAATCTTACCACACAATTGGTCTCGTCGTGGTGGGTGTGGTCCCTCTAGACTCACAACCTTATACTGAGCCGCACAACGGGGGTGTTCTACACATAAAAATGTACGTTTCTTAAAATTGTGCCTTAAATATATTGTGTGATAATTATTTATTCTTACGAGCGACAATTTGCCTCCTCAACTTCTCCAAGACGTCTTCCTCCCCTCCGATAAGCACGTTCTTATCCAGATTGTTCGCCGTGACGGAAAATATTTTGAACAAGTCTGTCTCCAATTTGTTCCAATTTGTTTCCAATTTGTTTGGTGAGTAAATGTTGTTACATTATACATTAAACATTATAAGTAAGGGGTCAGGGGACGTTCATAAATTATGTAACGCAAAAATCCGCGATTTTGTACATCCCCCCTTAACACGTGTCATCATAACATTGGAGCTTGGAGCCTTAGACCCCCTCTCGCGTTACATAATTTATGAATGGTCCCCTAATCGGGGTATTTATTCAGATTTCGAGGGATTTTCATATCCAACTCGAATTTTGGAGACGGATGGAAACACGTTCCTCCTCCTGGGTCAGATTTTTTCGGACGCCATCTACTTCTGGATGACCGTGTTGGGCAGTAAGAAAACAGCGGAAAAGTACTTGTTTGAGTTCAAGGTGTACAAACCGACGAAAGGAGAGAAGGAGGTACATAGCTCGATATATATTTTATGCAAATCGTAAATAATAAAATAATTAACATTTAAAATATTTCCTTGTGTATGTCAAAGGTCAATGTGCTGTGGACCATTCCGGTCTTGGCGTTTCAAGACCGACCAAAGTACGTGGTGGGGGCGCCCTTCTATGTAAAAATCGTGCCTGGAATGGCCCAGGAATTTGGAATTGAAGGGCTCAAGGCCAAATTGAAGCGATATATTCCCTCCGCATACCGAATTTTGTAGGAAATTTGGCTTAATAAGGAGTGTTAAGGTAATATGACGTAATAAATTTGATGGTAGAAATATTGGGGATGCGGAACCGCAATTTTAGATTTCCCTATCCCTCCAAGATTATTGAACTCCTCCCCCTTCCGATCGTACAAATATAATGTTTTTTCATAATTTCCCCATAATTTTGATTTCCCCTGTCGATTTCTCGTAATTTTGGGCTACTCAGCCCACTGTCTTTCTTTATGATGTGAAATATATTTACACTTTTACTTCCAAAATTTTATATTAATCGATTTTGAATTTTTATAGATCGAGCTGGAGACAAGACGATTTTATAAAGGCTGGAGTCGCCAACTTTATTAATATTATTATTATTTTAATACCGACCTTTTTCATTATTATTATTATTTAAGGTATTTTTATAAATATGTTGGACTAAATAAATAAGTTGCGCAATTAAAATAAAATTTATGCAAAGGCCGTGCTTCGTCAAAGTATATGTATATTTATGATCGTGTCCATCACCAGTTAATCAATAAGTTATTTATATATGAAAATACATACATTCGTCAATACATACGTACATACATTTTAACCTGTAATGAAAGGCATGTAATTAACGCATCTCCTAATTAATGGTGAAATATCTGCTAAATAATATACAAGTTTGCAAAAATAACGCATACGTGACTTGCATACATATGCGAAATAATATTAATTACTTACAAATAAATATTTGCATCTGCTCATTTCTGAAAGTACGGCTATCCATGTTAAATAACTGCGTCAAAATGTGCAAATGAGGTGACACGCACAAAAAATTGACTCTATTTTACCGAATGAGTTTCCATCCGTCGTCAATTCCAATTCTAAAAGGCTGGATGATCTGTGAGCCGAAGACACGTGGCAGGCGTGGCATTCCTTCAAGTGGTTGGCGAACTCAGACATGGCCACGGCCAATCGACAAGGACTTTCCGGACTTTCCCAGAGGCAGGTTATCTCGCTAATTTGTAAAATATAAGATTGATAATTTTAAATTACAACATTCATTTACATATACTGCGAAATTTGTCAACCTCCTCGTTCATACCTGAAGTAGCAGTGTTTCGTATGTGTTTTCATTAGTGGAGCGGCAAGTACTTCGCTACATCCGGAGGATTGGTTTGGACACGGAATTTTCTCCTATATAAAATGTATCAAATTTCGTACGGTTATATTTATATTACACTTGTAATTTCTACCTGTCCCGTTTTCGCTGTCCGGTTGCGTGCTGTGCGCCGCGACTTCTTAGGCGGCGGCGCTGCTGTACGTCGCGATTTTTTTGTCGGCGGGGGTGCTGTGCGTCGCCGTCGGATTTTCGGTGAGGGTGCTGCACGTCGCAACCTTTTAGGCGGTGGGGGTGCCAGTGGCCGAGATTCCTGGTCCTCGGGATTATTGTCTCCAATGTCAACCTCGTCGATCACTTGCGCCACGTGGCCCGCAGCCTCCACGTGTTGATCTCCTCCTCTCTCAATTTGGTTTCGGTTATCTAAAAATACATTTTAGATTAACTCAATTACAAAACGAGGGTGTTTGGAACTAGACATTCACACAACATGGCACAAAATTATATATTTCAGCCATATGTCTAATTAAATTAGTCATTAACTAGATTTCAAAATTAAATAATACTAATTAATTCGTCAATTTGCTGGTTTCCATTTACATTTTAAAGTGGCAGTGGCATTAAAACGAAAACTCCTCCATTTATCGATCACTAATCTTACCACAGATCTGGTCTCGTCGCGGTGGGTGTGGTCGATCCAGCATCACAACCTTGCACTGAGGCGGAAAATGAGGGAGTCCTACAGATATAGAAAATTATGTTTCTTAAAATATTTTATGACGAATCTTTAATATTTCATCTTATCATCAACTAATTATCCATTCTTACGAGAGGCAATTTGTCTCCTCAGCGTTTTCAAGACATCGTCCCCCTCGATAAGCACGTCCGGATTTCCCGACGTGACGGAAAACATTTTGATTAATTCGGTCCCCAGTTTGTTCAAAGCTGCGACAATCGTCTCCAGTAAATCGCCACATTCTTGACAACAATGAAATTCCTCGCGAGGAAAATCACCTTCGCAATCGCAATTGATATCAATTGTTCTTAGATAAGTTTGAAATAACGGAACGATAACCGAACCACACGTGCAGCTTGAATGAAGCCCAATTTTACGACAAAATAGACAAGGTCGTAGTAAGGTCGACATGATTTTTATGATTTGCAAAATTACCCAAAAATTAAAACAACTACCTAAAGCCAACTTTTATAAACTGCAAAATGTCTTAACTTGCTAATATTTAAGAGCTATAATTTTTTGGGATTTGTAGTTCATAGTTTAAATAATTGCGGAAATAGACAGAGAAATTCAGAAATTTCTTTCCGGTCTGTTTACTTGCAAATAATTTTTACTTCGCGGTTCGTTTTTTTACAGAAAACTTTATGTTTGATGTTCATGAAATGAGAATTTTCTTTCCATGAAAATTTATATTTCATGGAAAATGTTTAAAATTTTTATTTCTCCTTTCTATTTATGTTATGAAAATGAATAATTAAAGAATTTGGAATAAGTGTAGACCAAATCCGGAACGGTTTTTGGTAAGAATTTTATTTTATTTCAAATTTCCAACTTGAACCAGTTCGTCAACGAGTAGAAAAAAAATCTACATGAAAAATCCACAAATTTTAATTAATCTTAATTTAGATTGTCAATACTTTTAATATTTCTAATTCCAACTATAAAAATAGTAACCAAATTAAGTCTAAGGTAATCTAGGCTTTCAAAAGTAATCTCCTGTCATATGAAAATTTTAAAAATAAAATAAATTTTACAGTTAGTTTGTCAATTCTTGACCCGTTAATTAATAATTAGCACCTTTTTACCAACCCACCACCAAAAAATCCCATAAATTTTACTATTACTAAATTTCTAGGTTAAACATAACAAAAAAATTAAAGTGTCATCAACATCACCAGAAAGTCATCACCAGTAATAAATTAACAAATAAATCTATAAATCTATAAAATATTTTTTTTCAAATAACAGAAAAATAATAATTACAATTAAAGCTCAAACGTCGACAAGTTATTGAATAACGCACTTCTTCCCCACTTCTTCACGAGGTTCTCCCGTCAGGCTGATATTCTTACTATTTAGAATCAAACCAATTTTAACAAATTAAATAAACACCACAAATTTTAATATAGGAAGAAATTTTTTTAGTTAATTAATAATTAACCACCTTTTCATGAACTGCTTGATCCTCTTCCTCGCACCGGACATGCCAAACTGGTCGGCCAATTGATACAGGGCGACGCAATTGTCCAGCCGGCACAACGTTGGGAGCAGCTCGTCACACAATTCTTGGAGTGACGGGACATCGTACTGTAAATTAAATTAATATTTAAATACTTAATTGTTATGTATGTAAAAATATTAGTATTAAAATACCTATAACCATTCCAATTGGTTAATATTTACTTATTGAGCTAATTCACGCAGTCATTTGTTACTTACTTTTAAAATCTGTGCGTTTCGTAAAATAGTTTTACAAACTAAAGATACGCTTTTGATATGAGTAAATTTTAAACTAATTTCGAACTAATTTTCCTTACAAAAATTTGTAAAATTTTATAAGTTTGTGTATTTTAAGGATTTTATAATGTTACCAAGACCTGCGGGAATTGGTTTGGTTGTGTATGTAAATATTTGCAAAAAATGTAAAACGAGTAGAATAAATATGTAGTTGAATGTTGAATTATTAAAAACTCTGCAACTTTTATACTCCCACAATTTTACAAACTTCTTAAGAATACAAAACGCACGTGATCTGAGCAAGTTCATAAAAATTTGTAGACAAATTTTAGTACAAAATATTTGCAACATTTTGTAAAACTTTACAGAATGTACGGATTATTCTACAGTGTTACCTGCGTGAATAGTCTCATGTCATTAATTAATTACTTCATTATTTTTTAAAAATAGGTAACCAATTAATTTATAAATCCTCACTTTAAATGCTGCATTGACAATCTCCTCAAAATGCTGCCACCACATCCTGTCCAGTTCGCCGGTGTAAACATATTTCAAAAAGATCTTCAGCCCGACAGCCCCCATGTCGTCCGCCTGGATCACTTCGACCTCGTTGGGCTGGATCTTGACGGCGCAGATGGCCTTGAAGACGGCGCTGTGGCCGGACAACATGACCCTGTGCGCCTTCACGATGGTGCCCTCCTTCGTCCGAAACCTGACATCCGTACCAATTTCACCCTCCAACATGGCGAGACTTTCCGTCTTGTGGGACGACTTCCAACTTGCCACGCCCGGAGTGACGAATTTCAACGGATCATACAACGTGAACACCAGTTTCACGGTGATGGATCGGTCGGGGATTTGGTAAATAACATAATCCGCCGGAAGTGCGCTGGACGAGAGCCGGGTCGCGGTCGAGTAGGAGCCCGGTGCTTGTTTTAAATAGCGTTGGAAAGTGCCAATGACTGGATTGTCTTTACACGCAGCGGTGAATCGGAATCTCGGGAATCCTGCAAATATACGGACACTCTTAAAAATACTGTTACCCTTTTGAAACCTAAATACATACACTCTGAACTTGATATTAAGTAAATTATACTAAAATAAATTCATGGTAACATTGGCGTACAACTTGATGATCATTCATTAATTAAATCGTCAAAAGCAACGCATTTGTAATCATTTCTGGAAATTCGTTTTAAAATTTTGGACGAAATTTGTCCTTTAGTAAGTTTGTTATAACAGAGTTTTTTAAACTAGTCTCGTTAAGTTCCAATTTTGCTAAGGATTTCCTAAACTTGAGATCATCTCTTGCAAAAAGTGTCAAAATCTGCACTCCAAATTCTGGAATTTGCATTGTTTGTATAAATTGGCCGTCCAGAAATTTCAAGCTAAAGTCGAGAAATGATTCAAAATGTGCAGATTTTGACGATTTTTGCGAAGAGTCACCTTACGTTAACTTGATAAATAGCGAAATTTGCGCTGGATTTAGTACAACTAACTAAACAGAGGTCATGACAATTAGTAGCCCAATTAAATTTAAAAAGTCCACTCACTCCACTCCCAGCCCTTGTCGTAATTCTTCGCCTGAAGGGACACCTCGACGCCGGCCAGACCCAGAGGAGATCCGTCGTGCTGGACCAATGCGAAGCACAGATTCACCCTCCCTTGACCAAAATTGGGCCGAGTGGGATTCACATTGAAAAATATCCGCCATTTTGACATTTTGTTTATTGTCCGATTACGCCCTGCGCGGAAGAAAAGTTGGCATGTCGCCAAGTCCGACTGTTCACTCGCGGTCATCAAAGTGCGCTTATCCACGGTCCAAGTGAACTCGTATCGGTCGATGATGACGTTCTGGAAGGGAAATAAGTATGTAGTTAATTAATTTCAATGGAAATAATTAATTATGTAAATTTACAAATGGACTCACGTCGCGTAAAGAAGGAGGAGGCGCGATCAACGCGGCGATCTCCATACTTCGTGGAAATTGATGTTTTAGAATCTTGAATCTGGAAGAAAACAAAATCAAGAAATTAAGTTTCCAATGAAGATGAAAAGTAGAAATTATGATTCGTAAAATATAAATTTCATCAATTAATACAACAGGTTGGAGTCGATGCTAAATATGAATGTAATTAATTATTAGTGGGTTTTTAAATTGAATTTTTAATTACAAGATAATTGAAACCTGCCAAAAGTGCGAAACTCAACGAAATAAAACGTGACGGACGACGAGCAGCAGCTGAGGTAGGAAGAAGCGCACGCACACCGTGTTTTTTAATTTATGCACTTGTCTCACTTGGGGAAAGTGAAATTGTCTCAAACTTTGCAAAACTGCAAACTAAATCGCTTGGTAGATTATAAGATAGTTTATTTTGACTCAAGGTTTACAACATTATGTATTTACTTTCACGCTAAGTTTTACATTTTTTTGTCTAGAATCAATTCGTATTTAATTTTCTATGAAAAATCTCAAATTCAAAATCTTAAATAATATTGATTTTACACTTTGCAAGAAAATTATATCTAAATTTCTAGTTTTCAAAATTTGTCGTTATAAAATATGGAGCAAATATTAATTTTATTGTTACTCAGATATGCAGTGCTAATAATCATTTTTTGGTAATTTGAGCCGTTGCAATATACATTAATTGACATTTTAATCTCAAATTGTAATTATTTAGTGCCGATATGTATTTACCTCCTTTTAATTATACAAAGAAATGTATGTAATTAATTTGAAATTAAATAATTACTCTTTAATTGTATAATCATATAATTATTAATTACGGAAGTACTTTGAACACTACCCGAACTCCACCTACATCGACACCTTCCTGCACATAGCTTTCCTGCATGGCGATTATTGTTTTGATTTTACCGGATTTCAACATATTCACCCCTTCGATAAAAGCGGGGATGAATTTCTTCTCCCCCGGAAAAAAATACAATGTGGCGAGTGAATTCGGACAAAATAGTGAAAACTTTGGAGATGACGGCAGTTTTCTTGCTTGAAGGGATGGACGCATCGAATTTGTTCGAGATGACGATGTTCCGCATCAGTTTTGGGTGGACGGGGGAGATGAGGTGTAAATCTCCGGTGTGGTAACAGAAAAACGGGGTGACGTCGAGGAATGACCTTTTTCCTAAGTGAGTCGCACCAACGTCGCTCCAATCTCGGCATACGAATCGAGCCGTCTTCACGTCGGGGAGGCCGAGATGGGCGAAAATAGCGTTGAGAATCTGATAGATAGTTAAATTTATGGTGACAAATTATAATTATGTAAATTGGACAGGTGACAACATAATAAAATTAAATGTAAAAACGTACCATCGGATTCAGCAAGGCGGTCGACATAGTGGTCTCGCCCCTGCCTGGAATAGGTGTATTTAAATTAAAACCCGTGCAAAAAATAATGGTGGGCAATTAGTACACTAAAATATTTACCTAGCTGTGCAGAATTCGAAGAAATCAAATTCATCCTGGTCGTGGTTGAAGTTTGTAGTCCAATTTTTGATTTTTTTACCTAAAAAAATTAAATCTACGTAATTATTAAGTACAAAAGTAGTAAAGATGTAAGTAAGTCGTGACAATTTACTTAATTAAGGTCACGCAACGTTTAAGGAGTCAACAATTGTAAATAAGTAGATGACTTACCGTTCTTATTTAAATATTTGTAGTTTTGAATTTCAAATTTGTGACGATATTTTTGATTTTTGTAGGAAGAAGACGGCAGAGCGCAGTTACATTGAGCGGGGAGCGTGTCGGGGAATTTGGCGCAGTTTATAGTCTCACTCATTGTATAATATTAATAGAAAATGCATGCGATGTTTTCATGTTCGAAATAAAATAATTGTGTACGAAAAAATTGTGAGAAATATGTAATCTTGCGAAATTACAACATCGTGAAGAAATCATGTAAATATTGTGAAAACTCGCAAATTTCACAAAATGTCGCAATTTACGTATGTTGAATTTACCGTATAGAGTAGCAATAATGTAAACCGGAATTTCGAAAGACAGAAAAAAATTTGATTTTGATAAGATTTGCACCGTTTGTAGAGGTGATTTTTGTGAGTGCAACGGTATCAATACTTCGGTTCAACTCCGCCCCTTTCCCCAGGGGGAGGGGCCAAAAGTCGCAAAAAATGCAAACGGGGACACGGATTTCTCGACGATGGAAGAAGATATCGAGATGCTACTTTCACCAAAAGTTTCCTAATTTTTTTCTCTACAACCCGAATCGAGCGTTTTTTGAAATTCGAAAAAAAAAATTTCAAAAAAATAACTTACAAAAATTTTGGATGACAATTTTAAGTCTCACAACACCCCATAAATGGGGTATCGTTGGAAAGGTCTCAGCAAGTGGATTATATATCCACAGAATATATATACTTTGTGGGGTCTGGGACCACCCCCTGATTTTCTATGGGCCCATGAACATTTTTGAGTTTTCGTCGGTATTTTGCTATGTTAGCTCTCAATCTGCTCCTGTGTTAACGTCTGCATGCGTGGAAAACCAAAACTCAAAAATGTTCATGGGCCCATAGAAAATCAGGGGGTGGTCCCAGACCCCACAAAGTATATATATTCTGTGGATATATAATCCACTTGCTGAGACCTTTCCAACGATACCCCATTTATGGGGTGTTGTGAGACTTAAAATTGTCATCCAAAATTTTTGTAAGTTATTTTTTTGAAATTTTTTTTCGAATTTCAAAAAACGCTCGATTCGGGTTGTAGAGAAAAAAATTAGGAAACTTTTGGTGAAAGTAGCATCTCGATATCTTCTTCCATCGTCGAGAAATCCGTGTCCCCGTTTGCATTTTTTGCGACTTTTGGCCCCTCCCCCTGGGGAAAGGGGCGGAGTTGAACCGAAGTATTGATACCGTTGCACTCACAAAAATCACCTCTACAAACGGTGCAAATCTTATCAAAATCAAATTTTTTTCTGTCTTTCGAAATTCCGGTTTACATTATTGCTACTCTATACATATTTATATCTGCATCTACATGATGTTATATTAACAATTACCCGACTAATTTAACTAGTAATTGAGTAATTAATTACTTGCTCTAAACGAGTCGAAATAAGTAATTAGTAATTAACCACATATTCAATTAATTAATCAGCACTGAAATTCACATCCTTTCTAACAAACGTATAGGTTGGCATATTTGAAGTCTTCCTAGCGTATCGTGACAAGAACGACTGAAGAAATTACTGCCTTCTCCCACCTGCAATTTTCAACGGGCACAAAAAAGTATCGTTCAAAAACAAATCAATCAATTCACGAAGCTCACCTTGAAGTCATTTTCAGTAAGAAATTCCATCATCCTAGTTATGACTCCGGGCATAAACTGAAAAGATTAATATATTATTCAATACGTACCCAATATCTACGGGCCACAAATTGGGGTGAGAAATGAGGGATTTTTCGTCAAGTTTGTAACCTTCGTAACTGCATTAGATTTGTCCACGAATGTAAAATATGCCATTGAATATCGCAAGTTGAAAGTTCGCAAGTCAATTTTTATTAGAAATTTGGATAAAAGTTAGTGGCGATAACTCCACCCGATAAATTCCACCCCATCAACTCCCACTCGCGTAATCTATCCCATCATTTCCACCAGGAATCAGGATGATGATCCCACCCCCATGCAAATTCCCCCCGAGCAAATTCACTCAACCCCTGTCCATTCTACCCCTAATCATCCTCGGGGTTGAAATGGTGGGGTGGATTAGACATGGTCGAGTAGAAGGGGTGGGATTGATAGGGTGGAGTCATCCGCAAACTGGGAAGGATACAATCAATGCAGCGTTGAACTTCGAATAAATTCGACCCGGTTACTAAATTTCGACAGCTTGGGTTGAAGACCCGGTTATGAATAGGGCATTTACTGTATTCAATAAACACGCATATGTAACTCGCCTCAAACTCTTCGATCGACAAGTTAGGCTGCCATAGTTTTAAAACCTTCTCAAATTTTCGGCATCCTGGGTCCGTCCATCTTTTTGACCGTAGGAAGCTTATTACTCTTACGTTTTGCGTCTCCACATCCACAAATGACGGGATTTGTGGCAATTCGGTTCCAGAGTGGCTAGAATCTTCTTCCATTCCTGCAGAAAGGCACCATTTGTATTTAAAATATTTAGAGGTCGTTCACAAATTAAATAAAGTAATGATCTAGATTTTCTAGTCCCCCACTCCAATTAAGATGTGTAGACCTACTCTCTCCCTCCCCGTGACATAATTTATGCACGGCCCCTTAATTGGTTGACTCGGTTAAAATCGGGGATCATCATACACTTGGAGAATTACATTATTAGTTCTCCCATGATCCCCGCATGATTACAATGTTAACGCAAACCATATTCAGCCCAGCATATTTTTTGAGCATGCTACATTTAGTGCGGCACGGAAAAATTCAATTTGGGCGCCGCAAGGCTTAGATTTTGCTCGAAAAACGAGCCACGTGTTTAGCTTGTGGTGGCAAAAATTTTTCTCATCTGCGCAATTGCAGCACAATTAAATTGTTGTTTCTAAAGAGTTGCTCTTTTAAACTAACATATCTATCTGGGTTGAACATGGTTTGAGTCCACATAGTTATTATTTAGCATTGTCTCTGAAGCACAATTAATTATTTATCGCATTCATAATATTGGCACTCACCGCTTGCACAATTGCCCCCTTCGCCTTCTTCTTCCGTGCCCCCCATGGCTTCCATCAACTCGGAGAAACTACACCTCATGTGGATGTGCATCGTTATCTGCACCACGTGCCACGCACATGTGCGCATATTTTGGAAGAATTCTTTCCATTGCGTCATCTGCGTGGGGGTCTCCATCTCCCCGTAAAGCCGGACCGTCAATTTTTTCAAGTTCGGGAACATTCTCCAAATCTGGAAACAAATGTTTTTCCCGGGTAAATAATAACTCGGATTAATCGAGGACAACGATATCTCTTCGACCGTGGGGATGGAAATTGTTGTGGAGCGGGTTATCAAGTATGCGGTCATCTATTAGACTTAGTTCAAATTCTACCCGCCTCAAGCGCGGGAAAACATGGTGGTTTAAATTTCGAAATCCGAGGTCAAATAAATCCAGGGTGGAAAGGGTTAAGTTGGTGAGGTGCTTCATTACAGGGAGTGGAAAAATCTGTCACACATGCACATGTGGAATTCAGTAATGTCTATAAATTTTGAGATGTTTGAAAATTGACTAACCTGTACTCTCCGAATATCTGTGGTCATTTCATTCAGTCCGAATATGAAATTTTGCAAACTTTCGGAAACCTGGGCCAGCACTTGCGTAAATTTTTGACCGAAATTGTCACACAGTTGGCTTTAAAACAAGGAAATATAGTTTTGGAAAAGTTAGTTAAAATCTTGAGACTGGGCGAATCATGATCAAAATCGTAAAAATTAGGATTTTTACGATTTTGTAGATCAATTTTTTTTAAATATTTCTCTGCAATAGGAATTAATTGTGGGCGACCAATCTGTAGCCACTGATGAGGTTAATATGATGACAGTAATCTTCTTATAATTATGCTTAGCAAATTTTTATGGGTTCTAATTTCCTAAAATTTAGGTATCATCCTTCAAAAACTGTCTAAATCAGGAATGCATATTTAGAAAAAATTGCTCTGCAAATTTTTCGTCCAGAATTTTAAAGTAAATTCCCATAGCAGAGCAATATTTTAAAAAAAATGTTATTTATAATATCGTAAAAATGATGATTTTTAAGATTTTGGTGATGATTCTCCAAGTTTTTGATGATGAGTGATCAAAATTATACGGGATATTTATTTGCGTTCTTATATATCGTCGTACTAGATAATTCCGAAAAGACCTAAGTGCCGCTTAATTCAGAAAAGACCTAAGTGTATCGAAAAAAAGTAAAAAAAAGACCTATGTCCAAGCATGTATTTACTTATGGTAAATCGCGCCACATATGAAGAATCGGTTTGGCAAGATATCCATCTGAAAATTGGTCCATGGTCCATCGATGGACCACCTAAAAAATGGTCGATGGTCCATGGTCCATCGATGGACCACTTGAAAAATGGTCCATCGATGGACCAATTTTTTTGTGGTCCATGGTCCAGATACCATTTTGGTCAAGTGGACCATTTTCCATTGCGAGCTATGCTTCACATAGGGCTTTTCTGAATTAAGCGTCGACTGCACTTAGGTCTTTTATGAATTAGTACGACGATATGTAACTTACTATTCATCCCGATACGCAAATTTGGCCTTGAAAGGGTTAAACCCCACCAATGCTCGAATTTAACATTTGGTTAACATTGGAGAAATTCATATAATTCACTTACCACGGATCCCGATACGTCCTCCGAGCCTTGAAAGGGTTAAAGTCCCACCGGAAATATACAAGTCTCCGGCAACCGGACAAATCTGGGAAGAATATGGTACCAACATCAAATATATTCAACCTTTCCAATTTCCCCGCCTGTTTCAAAATTCCGCAAGCCATCGCTTGATACCCCATATGGCTCTTTACATAAATATTATTCACTATCCGAAATTGCTTCAAATTAGGCATGTTAAACTGGCCGGGAACTTCGGAGAAAGGAAATTGCGGGTCGTCTGTCTTACAAATCCGAATTTCCAATCGGGTCAACTTCTGAAATTCTATCCCGCCTAGAAGCACGGTCATCGCGGAGTAGAAAACGTCCGCCATGTGGAAATAAAACTGTTCGATGTGTTCCCCGTTTTTTAATGCGAATTCTACGAAACCCTGGCGAAAAGAGGGATCCTTCCCGCGCATATCTTCAATTTGATGGCAGGGGCTGTAGCCGACGGAAATGGCGGGTAGTAGTTTAACGTTCACTGAAGGAAAGGGTGAGATTAAGTTGGATTTATGATACGCTATGTATGAGAATTTCGTCCTTTTTCGGAGGATCAGGTTGGCCTCATTTTCCCATAATTTGGACACCAATCGGGTCTCCTTCAAGTCCCGGGTGGGCATGTGGGTGGCGATCCGGGCAAAAATCTGGGAAATTTTAGTTTACATGGATAATTATTGAGCATACTCACATCAACTACTCATATATCGCATTTAATCTCGCGAATTAAGCATAACTTTAAAAGTTTTGCAATACTTGTGAGATTTGCAAAAAAAAATCTTGAAAACCATGCCATTTTTTTTGCAAATTCAACATCCCAGAAATATGGGATGTTTTTAATCACACCTTATTTCGTAAAATCATCCTCACCATGGTCAGTAGGAGGAAGTACAGAAGTTTTTGGGATAAATCCCAAAATATGTGATTATTAATAGACTGGTGAGATTTGCGAAGTCTTATTTTGCGAATTCCTTTAAGACACAAATTCTTGGACCTTCGAAAGTTTGCTAGATGAATTGTGAATGCGAAATAAGACGTTGTCGTGAGAGTACGCCCATTGTAATTGAGAAACATGAAGAAATCAGACAAGTTATTTATGCAAGAAATTAAACCAAGGGGAACGTTTCTAGATAACTTCTTAATGCTCGAATATAAAATTTACATGCGAGAACTTTATGAACTGTTAAATTTGTAGAAATTAGAGCAAAGGTTTCTTTACCAAATGGTTTTCCAAAGCGATGGAAATTGACATTTTAGGTGGAAATATGTATCTCAAATACGTATGTATTATGTATTTGAATATTTGGCAGAATTTATATTCGACACTATGTTTTTAATGGATCTGCCGTTCTATGAAATTGGATACGTACGTATACGTATTTAGTTGAAGTTGAAACTTTACTGTTAAGATTTTTCAGACCATTTACACATCTTTATTCGAGTAAATACGTACTGACAAGAAGCTGTCTGTTTGGGGGCCTTTTTAATACATATTTACATACATACTCTCCTCTTACTTAGGTGTGCCACCTCATTTGCATAAATCTCACTATGCCCATTTTCAGTATTACGGGCTTTCCATGTCGAATAAGAAACCCTATTTTATTTCCGAATGAGTCAAAATATGGAGATGAGGTGACTAGCACAAATAATTATACTATGTGGATATGTTTACGCTAAATGGGTTGTTTGTGTGCATGTATGTAACGGAACACCTGTCAAGGGTACCTTAACAGATAAGGGTACCCTTTTAAAAATAATGTTACCCTTTTTAGTGTAAATGAACTCTAAATTCTATGCGTACCAAGGAAACTATACAAAATCCAGAGTAATTTAACATATCTAAGTAAGTAATTTGCCCAGTGTACATACATAGAATTCATTTCCTTTTTAACAGGGTAGCATTATTGTTAGGAGCATATGCATTTCTTAATTTTAAATCCATCCTGTGACATTTTGTCCGTACATGTGTATGCTAATACATATGAACATATGTAAATATGTAAGATTCTAGTCAGATTAATCCGTGACTCTCTACAAAAAGAGATTCAAGGGTTAAATTATTGTCGGGATGCCAGTCTCGAAGTCCCCCATCATAATAATTTGAGGGAGTTTGAGACTGACGTTGCTGTAGTTTCTCAAAATTCTAAATTTCTGACAGAAATTTTCTGTAATAGTTCAACTGTGTGCGTTGGTGTGCTCGATCACACTGACGCATTATGTAAGTGATGTGTGATGTAATGATTTTATTACTTACTTTAATGACTTTTGTAAAATGGTTTATTTTAACTTAAAAAAATCAGGTAAGCCACGTGTTAAAAGTAAATTAAATGTTAAAAACGAGTCAATAAATAATGAACCCGTGAAACCATAAAGTGTACATGCAGGCAGTGTGCGCAAAAAGGCAGCCTTTTTGATATTTATTTATGCCTTTTGCAATGCCCTTCTGCTCTTTTGCGTGCCCTTTTGATGCCTTTTTGCTCAATTTTTGAGTATTGAACCCGATTTCTTGTCCTGTATAACGTATTAAAGAAATTACAGAACGGATTTATTGCTTTTAAAATTGTGTTGGAGGGTTTTAGCTTTCATCGATACCTCAAATTAGTTGAATAATTTTCCCTAGATATTTTTAGGGTTGTGTCTACGTCGTCATTACCTTAATTAATTAAATTTTATTCTAAAGATAATAGTTGGGAAAGGCATAAAAATGCAATGAATAACTTTTACTTCAATTTCATCTCAGATTTTTCGTCTCATCTCACCCCAATTAGCAAAAGGGCAAACAGGAAAAAAGGCACCCATTTTTGTTGGGCAAAAAGGCAAACAGGCAGGCATACATATGTACATAGAGGCACTGCGTGCCTTTTTGTTTTGCACACACTGCATGCAGGAGTTTGTAAGAGAGGATTAATATTCTAAATACATCAGCATCAGAAAACATAAGATGTTTTTCTTGGATGTACTTATCAACGGGTCAGAATGTAAAATTGTGACCAGCTACTTGGAGGAAGGGACATTGAATATGCTCCCAAATTAATCAGGCAATAAAATGTTTAGGCAATAAAATGTTCAGGCAATAAAATGTTCAGGCAATAAAATCAGGCAATCAACCTCGTGAGATTAAAATGTAATGGTCTGCCTGCAAACAGTCATATTCTACTCGAGGTCAGGAGCCAAAAAGTTTACAAGGTTTGAAAGTAATTCGGCTATAATGTTTAAAACTGTGACTAGTAAAACTGGTAAAAAAATGCTCCGTTCAGGAGGCAACATCCTATTAAATAAGTACATACATACATAGGTAACCGGAAAACCAGTTCCATAATCCAATAATGAAGAATGGTGCGCCAAATAGTGCTCAGTTCGCGTACCAGGGAAAGTGAGGTGATGCTGTTTGTTAAAAAATGGTGATGGCAGAGATGAAGGTGGAAATATATGTAACCCGGCAATTACACGTGAACCGTTCACATGCTCAAAACTAGAAATAGCTATTAACAATTTTTAAATTGGTGTACTAACAGTATGTACAGCATCGCCAGCGCACTTTTAATACCAGTAACAGCATCACCTGATATACACTTTGAATTAGAACTACAATAGCTTTCCTCACTTCAATCATAAATGCAATACAAGCAACAAATGTAAGTAAACCGCATCCAACAACCAAATATTCTATCGCGGAGAGAGATACTGGCTGTGCTTCATTGAATTGTGGGTCAGACTTTGCATTATCCCTCCTTTTTCTGTAGAACCGGGAATTATACGTGCTAAGCAGAATCCCCGATAAGTCACGTAATATGTGCATGTGATACATTATTTCCCAGTGCTTCGATAAGCCTGCCTGTTGAAATTGGCCTATGGCGTAGTGTATTAGTGGGAATATATAATTTCTGCTCGCGCCTGCAAACACCGTAATTCGTACATTAACATCGTCATAATTTCTGACGATTGATTTTTTATCAAATAATTCAACCAGGTCGATAAATCCTGGTAAGTGTACCTCGGAATCTAGAAATGCAATATTGCCTTTTGTGGGAATACGGGTACCTTGATGGTCGTGCAGGGGATAAGAATTTGAAATATTCTTGACGACTTGTACTCTGTTGAAGGAACCATAACCCCCCACATGATGTAACCGCTTCATCAGCTTTACTAAATACTTTGCTGGAGGCGTCCTAAATTTAATAGATTCTAGCATTAAATTCAACTGATATTCCAGGTTTGACAGGAAATAGGTTGAATTACAGCGACGAGCATAGGTAGACGAGTAGGTGATAATTGCCAATTCAGAATCAATGAGATGTTGCAATGTTTTGGGCAAGTAAGGCATTGATACTGACGTCAAACTTGAGTAAACCTCTCCCTGATAAAAGTTACTCAGCAGCATACAACCAAAGTACCAGCATGTCAACCATGGAAATATAACAGCTGTATTTCTTGATAAAACTAGTCCAATTCCGGCTGATTGACCGACCAGTGTCGCAAATATCCAATAAATTTTGTTCCACACTGACTCGACCATTTCAATTGGATAATTTCCAATAATTCCAGATTGGAGTAACATGATGGCAATAAGTGAGACACATGTAGACAAAAATAGTTCCCATGTTACCGAATCAAAAGGAGCGTACAAAGTTTCAAATCCTACTATCGCGGATGGCTTCTTAGTAACAATTGCAAATTTGAAATTCCTGAATTCGATTCCGTTAGGTAGCATTTCCTCTTTATATCTTCGAGATATCAAACCATATACCACAGAGTTGTCCGTAACTATGGAAAGCCTTATTTCACCTATAATTTTGTGCCTGTCTACCTCTTTATAAAATTGTGACACGGTAAAATTGAACATGATCGCCATCTCCTTTACGCTGCAGTGATGATGGTTTAAAAAGTTTGTGTGAAAATATAAACTCGCTCCACACGTTTTCCCAGGGGCAGATATTAGATAACCAATTTCTAGCACGATGATTATTCGTGAATTCAAATTTTTATGGCGACGTTTCCACGATGCGCTAATGCCTCGTAGTGAATATTCAAAATTTGGGCCAGGTATTTTTAATCCGCAGGGAACACAAAGTATTTCCAGATAGTTGGGTAGATCGCAATCGAACTGAAGGAACGTACTGGTTAATATGTCTGCAGGCGGGTAGGCAAATGAGGGTGAGTGGTATACCTGGAGAAATATGTAGTCTGGATTTTCATGGGATAATGCTATCCTATAGTATAGAGGGTGCAACTGTTGTGCAACTACGGGCAAGTTTTGCTTGCCACATTTTAAATTGATAAAGGTTATCTGTATATTTGGAGATAGTGATCGTCCTTTGTTTATTTTGTCTCGGCGGAGATGCGAATTTTGGTACGTATTATCCCATGCGTATCGACTAGTTGAAAAATCCCAGTAAGATATAAGGTCGGCTATGATGGGCGCGTATGGATTATGGTGCCTAATATCGTGTCGAAACCGCTCCTCAGAATCTAAGCTGTCAAAACAGCCGCCAGTTATGAACTGTACGATGCCAGAGTTGAGAAATTCTGGGGTATGCCAAAAATTTTTGGATTTAATACTTGTAGATTCAATCATTGCAAAATATGTAATGAAGAAATAAACGGACTTCATGTTTTCGTAAATATGTTGAGTGAGATTTATATGATAATAGCAAAAAAAGATAAAAGATAAAATTTTATGCCATTAGGCCAACTAAGTTTAAAACGGCAGTTGATTGCAGCTCCGGTAAGAGTACGGTGTAACCGATCGAGTGCAGTTGTGTAACCCTTCTCGAAGCTTCTTGAAACGAAGGTTTACAAAAAGAACCGTTTGACCAAGGGTAACTTCTGGGAGGTACCCTCTTAAAAATAAGCTTGCCGTTTTGAAAAGCAAATTGGCTCTCAATTCTATACTAGAGATACACTAAATCAAGCATAACGTTGAATAGTAAAGTTTACTCTGGATTAAATAGGTAAATTTACTAAATCTGCAACTCAGATTGGATTTCTTTTTCAAAACGGCAACATTATTTCTTAGAGTATAGAATTCCATGTCAACTTTATATCACTCTAGATTAATTATTCATTTTATTTATACATCTAGCCACACTTGATATTATGATTTTGTACATGCCACGCTCGGACACCATAACACAGGCACGCGAACCTGTCCTGTTTATATACGCTTTACAAAGTTGTGTCAACAATTTATATAAGTCTTACTATTCATGCAATCTGTATTTTCAACGAAATATTTATTATATAAAGTGTTCAATGGAACCGGTCGATAAGGGCCAGTCTTCGGCGACTGAGGGGCCAAATTTTGGAAATTTGTCGACGGCGTCCAAACGTTGAGGGAATATGATATCTAATTTGTGGGAAGTGCCGGTAGTGGGTATTTATAATGCTATCTGGGGGGTCGACCAATGGAGCAGCTTACATTTGTATATGATAA